AAGAATTTTTTTTTTTAAAGGTTAGGCTGGAGGAAATTTTGAAAGCAAGGTACTACAAGGACAGGTCAGTGAAAGATGTTTCCCCCTTTTGAAGGCTAGGTTACATCTTTAGCATGCAGTTCCACCTTACTCACAGTCTAGAAGGACAATAAAAATTACGTATTCATGCATCGTCTGTTTTTTTCATTCTAGACATGTTTTAACAACCTTTGTACAATGATGGTTCTATGTTGCCTGTGAGGAACTGGCACCAGACCAGGGCTTAAGCCCTAAAATTTAATCTTAAGGAACTTTTCCTATCTCTATTTCCCATTTCTATGAAATAAAAACTACAAAACAGATGGCTGGTACAATAGTATCACTATGGCTTAATCTCAGAATCTTTGTTGGTATATGCATTAACTACGACACTGTAATATACTCTCACATATCACATGGAAAAAATAAGAGATGGACCAAGTAAGACAAAACATGGTTAAACAGAAAATATCCAATAATTAAATTTAGCAGTAATTCTTTAGTGTTCGTTTGTTTAAATTTGTTTAATTTGTTAAATGAGTCAGAGAAAAGTTTAGATAAAATTTCCTCTTGACTCTTGGGTAGTTCAGTTGTTAAGCATCTGACTTCGGCTCAGGTCATGATCTCATGGTTCATGAGTTCGAGTCTCACATTGGGAGAGCTCAAGCCCTGTTTTGGATAAGCTTGAGGCCTGCTTTAGGTGTACATGAGCCCTACTTCAGGTGAGCCCTGCTTGCTTTTTTCTTTCTCTTTCTCTTCTCTCCCTCCCGCCCTTGTGTCACTTTCCCTCAAAAAAAAAAAAAAAAAAAAAAAACAAAAAAATCCCACTTGAATCTTCTTGGTTTATGGAAAATGCCATAAAAAGATAATAGTGACATTTCTGCATAGTTAAGCCAATAAAGATTTTGTCTACCAGCAAGCTAATGGGCATCTTCAAACACAAGACCTAGTTTTAATAAGTCATAAATCTTTACAATTAATTTTGAAAGCTTTGGTCCACCTCATCTTTCTTCAATGTGGATGTTTTCAGACAGTTTTGAATAGATTTGAACATTTTTAAAAATCAAACTGACGCGTCTGACACTAAGATCAATGTAGTGAGAAATAAAGACTAGAAGAGAAGGTATTTGCAGTTTCTTGCCTTCTGTTGATACACCCAGTGACTATTTACAGTAACTGTCTTAAAATCTGACCCTATTTCTCTTTGGATTCTGTGTTAGAAAGTACAAGCATATGAACTTCAATAAGAGATCCCATGCATCCCTTATCCTACAGAAGCACTGACACTGGAGTGTTATTCACGACTGAGAATCACCAAATAGCACACTATTGAGTCAGTTTGAGTCCATGGTGATTCTATAAAAATGACATGGCTAAGCCATTAAACTGACAAAACTTCCATTTCTTAAAGGCAGATTTTATGGAAACCAATCACGTAGCCTATATATTTAACCAGATGCAAGTTGAACATAGTCACAAGAACTAGACTTAACCGGCAATGCCTTAACATTCAAAATTTCACACGACTTCTTCATTGTTAAGACCTTATTATTATGAAAACCCACTCCTTCTGATAACCACTGGCAAAATTTCTGCAGCAGGTTCAGTAAAACAGCATCTACCATCATGGAACCATTTTAAATCAATGTTTTAAAATGACTGAAGCCCAATAAAACTTGCCACAGATTTGAAAGGTAAAAAGAGTTTCAAAAATAAGAGTAAAGCAGAAATTTTTTTTCTATGTACGTAATAACCCAGTCCAATTGCTTATTATACTTCTTAAATTGGCCATGACCAGGAGAGACTAAAGGAGAGACTAGTAACAGTTAGGGACAAGAACAGATGAGTGGCAGTGTTAGTCGTAGCCTCATCTGGGTCTGACCCCTGGGTGGACACGGGCATCGCAAGGAAAGTGGCGGCTGCCTTTAAAAAGGACATGAATTAGGGAGAGGGAAGATGGCGGCGTAGGAGGACGCTGGGCTCACCGCGCGTCCTGCTGATCACTTAGATTCCACCTACACCTGCCTAAATAACCCAGAAAACCACCAGAGGATTAGCAGAACGGAGTCGCCGGAGCCAAGCGCAGACGAGAGGCCCACGGAAGAGGGTAGGAAAGGCGGCGAGGCGGTGCGCGCTCCACGGACTGGCGGGAGGGAGCCGGGGCTGAGGGGCGGCTCGCCGGCCAAGCAGAGCCCCCGAG